CTTGATCTCTTCATACAGCTGAATTGCATAGCACTAGAGGTGACATAAAGATGCCTTTAGGAAGCCTTATGGTAATAAATCCTCAACTGGGGCCCAAGTGATAGACTCTCCATGGATTTGAATTTAACTTATTATGCTTCTTCAGATTCAAGCTTATCCCAAATGAAGGCTGAAACCCCTGAAGTCTGGTGTATTAAAAAACCCAACTCCTGTGTCTTGCACACCCACCCTCCATGTAAAACAGAGTGCATCCCCAGTAGGCCTTTGTTTCATTGGTGTATGAATTCATTGGTTTTAATACACCAATGAAATAAATTTAAAAATATAAAATTGGTTTTAATACACCAATGAAACAAAGGCCTACTGTGGCTGCACTCTGTTTTACATGGAGGGTGGGTGTGCAAGACACAGGAGTTGGGTTTTTTAATGTAGTAAAATAGGCCAATAGGAAGCAAACAGGTCTATTAGACTAGACAGGGAATCTGGTTGGTTGCTATGGACAATACCTCTGCCTTTCCATTGGTTGAGTCTGCTTTTGATAAATTAGCTAAAGGATGTTTAACCTTTGCACTAATAAAACACAGATGGCCTCAAGGATAAAATTGTCTGATGGCAGAACTGCTCTTGCTGCTCACAACAACCAGACTACTTCTTTCATTCTCCCATGCTCAATGATGTGTGCGATAGTCAGGGCCGGATTGGCTCTCTCTGCTGCCCCAATTCCAGGTTCCTCATTGCGCCCCCCTGTATGCAGGCTGCATACAAGTGATCTCGGAGACATCACAGAGATCACTTGTACAAAACAAGGCGCGACTTCCCGCTGTACATTTACCCCTGCTTGCCCAAAGTAGGGCTAAATGTAGACAACAACTACCCGCCTGGTGCCCGGAACTGCATGTCCCGGGTGTCGGGAGATAGGAATTCCACACCCCTGCTGCCCCAAGGCCGGGCCTCGGTTGGCCTTGTGGGAAATCCGGGCCTGGTGATAGTCCCAGAGCTCTTGCTAGATCACAGACCTCTTCCTCATGGTAGAGTGATAAGAGTGGAGCTAGAAGTGTAAACTGCCTTGACGAATAATTGCTAGAGACCCATAGCATCTAGATTCTCTCCTTTAGGTTTCTAGTCCAAAGTAGGTGAATAAAAAAGAAAATGTTTGGTTGTCAAACACCTTCAGTCGTTAGACCTGGAGATAGAGAGAGAAGGACCATAGAGAGACAACAGTATCAGGTTTGCTAAACTGCATCTTGTTCTATCAACTATAATGTGAAGGGAGCTGAGCTGGTCCTCCATAGAGACAGTTCACTGACCCTATTGAGAATGTACAGGTCAGTGTACATGGGTGTGTAGAATAAGCACAAAATGCAAGTGCAATTTAAAGGGTCCCTGTCATAAATGCTTTTACTTGCCTGAAAAGCAGCTGCAAGACTACTCTGACTCCCAGGGGTATTCTATTTTAACATATATTGAGTTGCACAGCTATAGCCCTAGCATGTGGAATGAGAGTAGACACTGCTGTGTGCTTTTAAGGCAGATGATAGTGAACAAGATGATGTCCATATAGAATTGGCTTATGATAACAAGACACAGATGCACAGAAAAACACCTATGTACACAATACACAAGAAGAACAAACAAAGCAAGAGATTGCTAGGCACCCACTACAAGATGATTATTGTGGCCAGAAAGGGAATTTTCCTCCAAATAAGATGGAGGACATGGATGGTCCTTGATCCTATACGCAACTAGATACTAGACTGGAATGTCTGTCCATGTATACCATTGTCACGACTGCATCTATTACTGTCCAACTTGCCACTTACATATAAACTGTATATGGGTAGCCATGACAGAATCGAAGAGACAAGCACCTGATACGTGAAATTACTATTTTTCTATTTTCTCCTTCAAGTGGCTCTCTCCTTAAGCGATATGTTTCCACTATGAAGGTACCACAACAAGGAGACACTACTTGGCACCAGCTCAAAAAGTTGGTGTTGGGGGTATCCGCGGCTTCCATAAACACCAGGTAGTAGCTGTCCAGTCTAGATGAAAGCAGTCATCTAATGTCAATGGCTAGCTTTAGACCAAAACGATGATAGCCACTCATATGCCTAGAACTATGATCAGCCATCCATCAAACAGTACAGATCACATCAGGAGTGCCAACCAAAAGCTTGTCTTTTTTTTAGATCTATAATAATCTTACATAACAATAACAATTGGTCATCAAAGTCCGTTCCATGTTGACTGGCTTCTACCCCAAGAGTAACCAACCCAGAGGTAAGTGTACACATCATGGGTTGCCTAGAGATATATGATTACTTTCCAATCTAACTGATGGAGACAAAAATCAGATGACAATGTGTTTATGTCTATGGGTAGTGGCCTATGTCTATGGGAAGTGGCCATGTGATTGAAAATGGGATTAAATCCATTAAAAGCACCTCGCTGTCAACCAAAAAGAAGTATGAAAATTGCCAAGTGTATGGTCAACATAAGAGCTTGTGTACACGGGCAATTGAAATGATTAAAGTCAGTTTGAGACCAGTTTACCAATGTTAAAGAGACCCAGTCGTCAGACCATTCATTTCAACAAAAATCCTCCCATAAGATTATATGTGCATTTAACATCTTATGCATGTTATTTACTTGTAAAAGCCTCTCATTTGTAGGGATTCAAATGCCCATAGCCTGCTGCTGGGAGCCGCCATCTTGGCATGTGATATCAGCAGCCTCAGCAAACCCAAAGCTGTCACTCAAGTGACACTCTATAGTTTTTCCCCTTCACCACTCCCCTTCCTGCTACATAAAAGGTTATGTAAGAAAGTAAGGGGAGGGGTGGAGGAGCTGGGCCAGCAGAGAGAGTAATTCATCACTCCTAGAAGATAAGAGGACTATGACGTGCAAGGAGAGGAGGGTCTGTGCTAGGGAATTGACTATTCAACTTATCTAGCACGTTCACATTGCAAGTGAATACAAAAATAATTTATGAGAAAGAAAGACACTTTTAAAATACTTGATTTTCCTGCTTTTGCCTGCAGGATCTCTTAAAAAAATTAGCCTGTAGATAGTCTAAGGTTAATAAGCTATAGTAGGAGCCCAGGGGCTAAACTCTGATAATGGCTACAGGAGCATGGGTTTCCAGAACGCACCACGAGGCCTACAAATAGCTTAGGAAACCTCAAACTTCTTTCTAAGAGTGGGAATATAAGCATGTTCCCCCCTCTTCCCTATGACAATGCCTATCAATAGATTTCTCAGGGAAGGGGCATTGCATCATGGGTTACCAGGTGGGACTGTGTTAGTGCTTCCAGAAACATGAAGGTGGACTGACTTAAGAACTACTAGGGTGCCAGAGCCCTGGTTTGTACTAGCCTGCATAAGTTGGTTCCTACTATATGGGTAATTTCAAAATAAGTACTGGTTTACTTTGATTGCATTGTCTGAGCATTTTTGTACAGCTGGCAACCTTGGTCTACAGTGACAGCTTTATGTAAGTCTCTCTCTCTCCCTGTCTTTCTCTCTTTATCGTTTTTGGATATCAAAAGTATCAAAAGGCAGTGAAGTGTTTAAAACAGGCTATTTCAGTAAGGTTGTACAAAAGGAATGATATTCAGGTGCAGCAATCTATAGCAACCATTAAAAAAATAATCCCTTCACTAATACGACTACAGTAGCCTGAAATCTGATTGGCTGCCATGGGTTAAAGCTCCATTGTTATGATATTTGTTTTGTTTTGTGCTGCTTTACTAAAAATAATCCAGAATGTAACAATATATGATTGAGAGAACCATAGAAGCTGAAAGATCAGCAGGCTTATTCAACAAAGCCGTACAAAGAGCATTGACGGTATGCAAAGCTGGCAACTCCCCGCAATCAGATTTCACATTGCTTGCTCTTGCGTCACTGAGTAAGGGCCTGTGTCGAAGGGATTTTGTTCACGTCAGACAGGTTTTGCATTACCATACAAATGTAGGAGAATGTAAAACCCACTTGAAGCAGGTAAAATGCAGTCAGCGCCTGTCCATTAATAGTCAGTGATCTCAGAATTGTCTTAAACTGATGCCAAACTCCTGCCAATTACACAAGACCAAAGTCTGCTTGTCTTTTTATAAGAAATACAAATAAGCGCCAGAAAAATCAGGAAATATGGAAAGTGCGGATCTGTGGGTCTCCCATCCCTGACCGCGTAGCATTGCATCTGACATCCTGGTACTCCATAGGGCGGAGTTCCAAGCTTTACTCGGCAGTCATTTCATCAAAACTTGCTACAGCAGGTTAGAACCCCTTAAAGGGACAGACTGTAAAACTGATTGTTCAGTTATAGGTAAACCTTGGAGGGTTTTGTCACTTACTATTTACACTATATGGCCAAAAGCTTGAGGACACAGCACCAAATTCTTGATTTCAGGCATTTTCACGGAAGGGTACTGTACATTTTATAGTATAAAAAAATAATGTGTGCTTCCAACCTTATGACAACAGTCTGGGGAAGGCCCTTTTCTGTTCCAGCATGACTGTTCCTCTGTGCACAAAGCCAGTTCCATAAAGACATCGTTTGATGAGTTTAGTGTGCCAGGTCTTCTCGTCTAACGTCCAACATCAATGCCTGACCTCACCACCACTCTTTTGGCTAAATGGGCACAAATTCCCACAGACACACTCCAAAATCTTGTGAAAACTCTTCTCCGAAGAGTGGAGGCTGGTATAACCCTAAAAGGTGGAGTGCACATCTCCATATTAATGGCCATGGTTTTGGAGTGAAATATCCAACAAGCTCATGTTGGCTTGATGGTCAGGTGCCTACAATCTTTCGGCCATATATTGTACAGTATATCTCCTATCCACTCCAGTAACAAGTTCCTTCTGTCAGAATTCCCCCATCCACATAGCTGCACCAAGTGGGCAGAGCTGGGAACTCATGTGGATATATCCTCCACCAGACTTTGCAAGAGAAATAAAGAAGTCAGCAAGTGACTGAACCTACTGACTACAATATCGATTTTGGGTAGACCAAGCCTTTATTTCATTAAGACGACAACCCGAAGATAAGCGAGGCATCTGATACATGTCCTTAAATGTTGGAGTACCATTCACTGGCTCAGCTGGGTCACTTCAAATTTACCACAAAATAAATATACAGTCAGGCACTATAGAGGCAGAAGAGCCAAGGCTCGTAGTCATCTCAGTGTCTGCTCTGATCTCAAAACATAAAAACCTAAAATAATCACAGTTTGTAAAAGTGCTAAATAGTACATAAATTAGGATCGCACCACCATCTTTCATTTTGCTCTCGGCAGTGATGAGGGCAAAAAGGGGGAAAAAAATTATAGTAATAACATTGGTCCAGACCCTTCCAAAAATGTTGGTTTTGTTGTGCCCCTGGTCCACAAGTTTTCTTTTCCCACCCTTGGTGCCAGAAGGTATTCCCCATGCAGGTTTCTTTAAAAACAAAAAAAAGGGATGCCAAGAGCAGCTAGTGGTGAAAAAAAGTTCAAAAGTAGGGATCAACTGCGCCCCCTTGTGGAGCTTTGTCTAACACTCATCTATAGTAAGGCAGATGAATTCCTGGATGCACTTTCTGTACTGCTGCTCTGTAGGACTGTTGCTGGGATATTGACCTGGTTGTCCGAATGGTCCTTCTGCTTCTCTCATCTCCTCATTCATTCGAGCAAGTCGCAGCCTGTGGGAATAGCAGTTCTGATCAGCATGTGTTGTGCTAGCTGAAGACTTAAGAACAGTTAAAGCTGAACTCCAGGCTAAGCAAATATTGTCTCAATGCAAGAGGCATGTGTATTACTGGAATCTTTGTGTCCTATGTGTTTATTCTAGATCTGTGCAGTGAACTAAAATAAAACCTCTCCTTTGTGCAGCGGTGACCTTTTATCCAGAGCAGCCACTGCTGCTCTCTCTCCTTGTGCAGGATGACTGGTCTTGTCTCCGCCCTCTCCTGTAGTTGTTCTGCATTTAGCCTGTAGTGAGTGGAACTGTTGGGTCCCTCCCACAGCTTTACTCTCTGCACACAAAGTGGATTTATATCCATTATGGCTACTGGGGAACATGAAATGAAAGTTTTTGTGCCTGGAGCTCAGCTTTAATAACACACAGTAGTGAAAGAAATAGCTGGTGACAAAGTGTGGAAGCACATCAGTGGTGATAAATGGTAGGAGAGGAGGATAGTATATGAGGATACTTCTAATCCATAGCTCCAGGATGCAGATATTTAATTACCATGTATAAATGTACTCTATGCCAATTAAAAGATTTGCCAACTGAATGCTTTATTCCAAGAAATGTGCAAAGGATGAAGGGACATATGAAGCAAAAAAATAAACACTATTTTATCTCCAGTATTGTAATTTTTTTTTTCCTTCAAAGTAAAAGTGAGCCTCCTGGAGGCTCAGCCTCATGTGGACATTACCAAGGGTGGTCTATTTTCAGGAAGCTCTGTACCAAGGAATGCAAAATATAATCATAATAAACTTTAAGGGTGCATTCTCACCCAAATCGGAAAGAAAATCGCAAGTCAACGAAGAGTTCGCTGACTTGCAATTGTACCTTTCGATCCGTTGTGTATCCGTTTTACAATGGATACTGGCGGAAGGGCCATGAGAAAGAAATGGGCATGAATGGGGCTTGTTCTAACCGGATCCACTGCGTTATGCAAGTAGTACATGAGCAGTGTGTACTGGTCTCATTCGCACCCATTTATTTTTCAGAACAGAGAAAAAAGGTCACCAGCACTCCAAGTTGAAGGGACCGGACAGGTTCCGAAACGTTGTCACGCATGGTGATATGACCTGCAAGAATGAATAAAAGGATTTTGTTTTGAAGAAAACTTGGAGTGCTGGTGACCATTTTTTCTGTTTTGCAAGTATTTGGCAGTGCCATCCGCGGCCACTTCAGCACCGCCCCACATTATATGGGACTTCTCAGTCAGGAGTGCGGTGGGACTCTATTTGACTGCATTAATTTTTTCAGGGCCCTTACACTAGCATCAGTTGAAAAACTTATCACAACGCAATGGATCGCAACAGAATGGATCCAGTTTAAATGGGTCCTAAAGGTACAGTAAGCACTTCTTTTAAGAACTGTATTCAATCTTCCTAGAGTGGAGCAGAAGGGTGTTTTAACACCACCCAAAAAGCTGTTTGAAGCTTGCTAAATGCTTTGTAAATGCTAGCTTAATCTTATGGTTACATTGATGATTAGAAGCCATGATCCCAGTGTATGAGGCTTAATTTTGTCTGTGTGTATTAATTGTACATAACAGTCACAAAAGACCAGATGAAAATAGAACACTCACAAAGTGACAATATCCGCATTAGCTGCCTGCACAGATATACTGAGCGGATCTTGTCCATCTTCATCCACAGCATGTTGATTGGCTCCTCGTTTTAAGAACAAACACACTTGGCTGAACAGGAAACAAACACAAAACAATTAGTGCCGAGCAGATACACCAATAGTATACTGTAGTGTATATACATTTGTAAGATCTGTACTCTGGCTCCATAGCCCAGTACCTACCCAGTATGTCCCAGATACGTGGCGTGATGTATAGGTGCTCGACCTCGAACGTCTGTCTGGTTGACATCTGCACCATTCTGTAGAAGGAACTCGCAGGCTATCAATGATCCCTGAGTAAATACAATGTATATTTTTTATATACTGAGATTAAAAAGACACCAGAGTACAGCACGGTGCCACAAATTAGAAATTAGGGCTATCTAGGCATCTTTAAAGAAAACATGGAGGCTAACTACTCCTGAAAATGGGAAAAAAACAAGGGCTTCAGCTGTCATGCTGAAGCCCTTGTTTCAATGACCCGGAACAAGTATGCAAATAAGGACTTCAGACTTTCCTGATTTGCATACTTGTTCCTTTGTAGTGACTCAAAATGTATTAACACTAATAAATCAGTGTAACAGCCATTCAAATGGCATATAGTCGTTGATGGAGGTTGCAATGGATCCCCCATATTGCTCTTTGACTCAGAGTTTTACCATATATATGACACTGCCCCACAGAAATAATTTATTAATAATAACTGTAATTCTATAATTATATATATGTAATGTACAGTATATTTAATTTCTGCTGTTTTCTAATCTGCTTCCTAGAACAATAGTACCCATCATAACGAACCATCCCAGAAAACCTAGTCATCTTTTCCTTCCATGGCCTCTTGCTGCTTCATTTCACAAAGGGTCCAACCCTATTTAGGCTCTGTGTAGAATGCAGTTGGAGCACATACCGATGATATCACCCTCAAGTGACAGTGTTTGGGCCTGCCCTCTCAGGTCCAACCACTGCATGCTGGAGCAGCAGGTATTTGCGCTGGCTTCAACAGAGTGGCAAAGGAGCACAGGGAAAGTAGGTATGAGTGAGTTGGGGGATGTACTAGTAAGAGACTGTCACTGTAACCTGAAAGGTAATAATTGTAGGTTCTCTTTAAAAACGTCAGGAGTGGGGTTTATAAATTGTAGTATAAATGGAGGATATCAAATTATACTGGAATACTTATAATGGAATAGGACAATAATGGAAAGGCAGCCATCCATATAGATCAGACCCTGGGCATGCAGCCTGTGTCTCAGGACCACTAACTGGGTCTCACATCAAAGTTTTGATGTCCGCTTATGGTTATAAATTATATGGATTTGATGAGGCTCTCTTTTGAAGTCCCAAAACCATATAATTCCCAAGGAAATAACACCCTAAAATATGAGGACACAATGTGAAGAAGACTGAGTTCCTCGGGATCTTGCACCTCTCTTAGGCTGCTGACAAAAAGCAATTTGTATGCCGTCTTTCTTGCAGTACTGGGAAGACTGCCTTAGACAGAGCTAGAAGGGTTTCTGAAGATTATACTATGGTACCCAATGACATGTGGTAATGCCCATACACTTGAGATATGCTAATCATGCTTACCCCTATCACAGCCTGGATTAAAGGAGTTTTGCTTTCATCCTCATCATTCACCCAGTTGACATTAGCCCCATTGGCAAATGCTTCAGCCATGACAGGCAGGTTCCTGGCTCGAGATGCCTTGTACATTAACAAGCCAGGGTGCAACTCCCTCAGGTCTTCAGGGTCTGATGGCTCTTGTTCAGTCTCTCCTTCTCCGCTAGACTCTTCTGAGACCTCACATTCTGAATTTACAGGGAAGGGAAAGTTGTCTAAATCAAAAATATATTCCTATCTATTATCCTTCCAATACTTACAATCTGTTTGGATTTATTCAAATAGTAAAAGCATGAAAACGATTGAACGAAAAAAAGAAATACAGATCGTGTATCAGGTTCTCAGCCAATGAAACTCTACTTGGTCTTATAATCTCTACATGAACTGTCTTCAAAGCACCTAGAATATTCTTCCATTCAAGGTCATAAAAAGAAAAGTGTGAAAGGTCAGTCTGGCATAATATGAAATGTCAGTGTTAGGAAAAAAGCCATTTCATTTTGTAGACACTTTGATAAATGGGATTATCAATACTTTTGCAGCCTCAGAGTTATCCCATCACATAGAGGATAATTAGACATCCATTTGGGCCACATATCCCAATGGTGCCCCTACCAACAGTAAATATGAATGGCAAGTCCTATAATGACCTAAAATGGATTGTGGCAGAGCTGTAGTATATGTGGGATGGTGCTTGTAAAGAAGACAGGACATCAAATGCTGAGAGTTAAGCACATGTATGAAAAGGTGAAGAATGATTGACATTATCTTTGTCTTCAATTCTGCTGCTGTGACAGTGAAGCATGTACATGTATGACATTTATGTATTGATGTTTGCTTTCACATTGACATATCTGCTTCCCGCTACACGCTTGCATCTTCGGTCAACAGTCATCAATGAGTCTATCGAACTGTGCAGTTACATCAGGAAACTGCATAAACATAATGTTATGGCTTTGTAGAGATAAGAGATTCTTTGTATCCTGTATTAAAGTTCTACTGTGAGTGGCTAATTGTAAAGGATCTGCACTGGCTTTACTCTGGCTCACTAAGCTTTACACAAACATGAACTTTGCCTTATGTATTTGACTTTATGCTTTCTATCAATGTGGTATATTGTACCACATTTCACATGCGCCGAGGAGGGTATCTCCAATAGGGCATCTTGAAGATCTGTATGAGTTGGCCTTTTTCAGTCAGTTCTAACGGAAAATCTCACACTTTCATAAATCTCACTACCAATAACTGGTGGTATACTGTAGTTTAGTTATTCCATTATTGCTTCATTTTTTTAATGATAAAAAAACAGTGCAAATGGAAACAAATATATTTTCTAAGGAGTAGTAACTGCAGTGGAGATATTTACCTTCCTCTGTGACACTGTCCACTGCCGAGCCAAACACCAAGACATCGTTGCTTCCGTCTGTGCTTCCTCCAAGGCCGCTGTCACTGCTCAGACCTGCGGGGCCAACAAAAAAAATACCAAACACATGTTAAAATAAAGTAGACTGCAGAAATGTATTTTGGACTTCAGAGGTACTACAATGAAAAACCATGATATACCTAAAATGCTAACTGTACCTTACCAACAAAAAGCATCCCTCACCCTCACCATCCTTATTAAAACACCCAATAGAATACCAGACCTCATATGCAGGTTTACTACTTTTCTAATAGGTTATAGCCCAAGTAGGGCTAGTGGGATTCTGCCTTGGCTCTAATATAGCTTGTATGCATAGAGCCATTGTGTCCATCACAGCTGGGCCTTTGCAAACATGTAAATATTTATGCTTAAAGGTATTCTAATGGTACAAGTTTATGTATGAAAGATTTATATATGCCCTCTTATGAAGCATGATGTACTCTGAAGATGACACCACAGCCCCTTTATCTCTAAAATCTCTGCAATACATCTGCGTTCCGACTCAGAAATGCTGCAAGTAGAGAAATATGAGTTCCTAACTTTCTCTTTTAAACTGACAACTTTGCCTCTGCTGTACTAAAATCCCAACCAGCATTGTCAGCCCTGCCCAGTTGTCTGCTCCAGGACCACAGAACATCTACCCCTCACCTCCTCTCCATAACATGCCTGTCTACTGACTGCCTACAATTATTTCTTAAGTCTACAAGCAAATATTGTGCAATGTTCAAAAACATTAGTCTGATTTTAATGTATACAGGACCCAATTAGAGTCCAATTAGAAACATTACCTATTTGGTACACACAATGTAAGTTATATTACTTGCTTAGTTGTGCCCACTGCTACTGTGCAACCATAAATACAATAACAATTTTGCCACATATGCACAATTGTTGTATTATGTGAAGAGATCTGTGGCAAGAGTGACAGTATAAGCATATTGCAGAGTTAAAGGCACATAAATCATTCAGCTGCTACAGTTACAAACTGTACATTGCTCCAGATTCATATTGGGTTAATACATTTCCAAATGAGCTCACTTGGGTAGAAAGACAAAAGCTAATTTATAACAATTATACTGCTAAAGCTGAACTCCAGGCAAAGAGCTGTTTACCTGTCAAAGGTATGTGTGTTCATCTAGTTCTGAGATTTATACAGGCCATTACACAGTACAGCTCTCTATGGCAGGGCAGGAGACCTGACTTTTTGCCGCTGCAGTTATGTAATACTTAGAGGTCTTGTCCCTCCCCCAGCCTGTGACTGGATAGTGATTGGCTCATTTTCTCTGACAATCTGCTCATGCCTACTATCAGCATGTTCTTTGTAAGCACAACTAACTGATTGTCTCACAGTGCTGCTTTTCCCACTCACAGTCTGCTGTACAGGTGATTGCAAAAGGCTGTTAACAGGTCAAATTCAGGTACTTACACTGCTTGCATGTATTACAAATACATTTATTGATGCATTATTGAATGCAAGTATACAGTAGATGCCTGAACTTCAGATTTAATCTCATTGCAGAATACACTGTGCATATTTACTATAGTGCAAGTTTCAGCTAACATTTTAAAACATTAAGCGTAAAAACCAATTTGCATTTCTGTCAGACAGAATTGACAGCTTATATTGGAATGGATCTACAGTTAGTTTTGAGTTAGTAAATCTCATCATGCATCATGATGAATGAGAACCTGTCAAGTATAGTACACAAATAATGAGACAATGCAAGTAAACCTGAACGACTATGCAATCAGATAGGCTCATCGTCAAAAGATGGACAATGCTCTTCATCATTGTCCCCAGCTCTCTTGCTCTTCATCATTGTCCCCAGCTCTCTTGCCCTTCATCATTGTCCACAGCTCTCTTGCCCTTCATCAGTTTCCCCAGCTCTCTTGCTCTTCAACATTTTCCCCAGCACTCTTGCCCTTCATCATTTTCCCCAGCTCTCTTGCTCTTCAACATTTTCCCCAGCACTCTTGCCCTTCATCATTTTCCCCAGCTCTCTTGCTCTTCAACATTTTCCCCAGCACTCTTGCCCTTCATCATTTTCCCCAGCTCTCTTGCTCTTCATCATTTTCCCCAGCTCTCTTGCCCTTCATCATTTTCCCCAGCTCTCTTGCTCTTCATCATTTTCCCCAGCTCTCTTGCCCTTCATCATTTTCCCCAGCTCTCTTGCCCTTCATCATTTTCCCCAGCTCTCTTGCTCTTCATCATATTTCCTAGCTCTCTTGCTCTTCATCATATTTCTTAGCTCTCTTACTCTTCATCATGTTCCCCAGCTCACTTGTTTGTTTTTTTCTACTAATCTATATATAATCTTCTCTTTACAATCTATCCTCATTATTCTATCTTCATGTTGAAACACATTTTTACTATTGCAAAGCAAATGATATTTAAATCATATGATGCATATGTTACATTTGTACAATGTACCACAGCTCTTCTTTGCATACAGTAATCAGTCCTTATAAACCTTTCATACTAAAAGGAGAAAGTTTAAAAATAAATACATTGCATTTTCTTTCTCAGGTGGAAAATGGCCGACTTTTCTTGCATTCGGCCACATTAAAACCTTTATATCGTAATTCTAAGGAATTAACAATTACTATTTTTGTAGGTATGTCTTTAGTGACTTTCTCTTGTCGCCGACCTTACCTCCATCCGGGAGGAACGGCATAGCGCTCCCACCGGGCTCAGCGCCACTGCCAGTCCATGGTGCAGCTGGCAGGGGGTGCTGCGCTGGAAGCTGGTTGGCACCTAAGAGGAAGGTGATGGCATAGTCAATGAAATAGTACGGTCTTACATCTACTAGTATTATCATGATGATGGAACTACACATGCAATCGCTAATGAAGTGAGATCTTAGGGTTCAAGGCATTTTGACCACACAACAACAAACAGAAGAGGTTTTAAGAATGGATAAGTCTGCATCCAATGTTCAAAATCCAACTACGGTGCTTAAAAATTGAAAAAGAATATTATTATAGTTTTAATCCTCTTAAATTAAGAATTTATTTTATACATGGCTTGTGCTCTAGCTCTGGAATGTATCCAGTAGTGATTGGTAGAAATTAACATATACATGTTATAAAAAAAATAAACACCTGTATCATGCGTAGCTCTACTAAACTATGCTAACGTAAGGTTTTATGGTAAAGTTCTACTACCAGAACATGGGAGTTCAAAAATATTTTTAATATACAGGAAGAATTGCATGATTCATTACTGTCCATATCTTGTTGCTGATTTTCAAAGAGATAAAACTTTGAAGGGAATCTCTCTGAGCTCCATGTATCCTTGCTTACAGCTAAGCTTTCTACCAAAACAGGTACAAGTTGTCCTTCGACAACTAATTCCACAATGAAAGAGGTAGCACAGCTTTTTTTTCTGTTCTGCTTCACAAATGGAAACATTGTGCATTATGAACTATATGACAGCCATTCACAAAACTACAAAGTAAAGACCGTTAGAGTAAGGCATAGGTTAAACTAATTGCACCCCAGACATCAATGCCTGGGGATCACAATTTCATCAGAGAATTTTAAAGCAAGACACATCTGCATGTTGCTGAATAATTTACGACAAACTAGAGCAAAGAAAACCAAAGAAAAAATTGATCTCTTTCCCACAGCTACCAATCATGCAATGATTTGAGCTGACTTGATTGACTGCTAAGGGAAAAAATTCATTATCTGAGAGTCATCTGTTATCCACATCTTCAAGAGCAAAGAACGAGCTGATAAATGTACCAACAAGGCACAAGTAATGAATAGTCTCATATATGTCAGGCAGTGCAGCCAAGCAGTGGACTGCAGCATGCATAAAAATGCACAACTTTTGTTTAGCAGAGGTGCATTGCAGCACAGCGGTGTTCTTTATAAGAATAAGGGTGGCAAAGGACAACATATACGCCAACATACAACAATGCCATGGGTGTCACCAGAAGTGAGAGAATGAGCAGTAAAACCTGTCTAAGGATTTAAGCCTTCCCAAATAAAACCAAAAAAAAAAAAAAAAAATTTGGGAAGAACCACTTTAAAGGTTATCTGTACTTTTAAAACAGGTTCGCTTTTTAATTTATATAGGGATACCACACGACTTTGCAAATATATTTGCCGCACATTGCATTTTTTATAACAGGAGTTGATTTGCTAAAGCAGTACAGGCTCCTTCCCACGTGAGCACAGGGTTACCTTATTTAGGAAGGTTCCCTTTGCAAAGAAAACATAAATCTCAATGTGTTCAGTGTCACAAGTCATACTATATATGATGATTTCCAAACTGCACTACACTATGTAATCAGTGGAGATCACAAAGTTCTAAAAGCAAGAAGCTGGTCTGTAAGGTTAGCTAAGGAGTAGAGGGTACATGTCTCCACACCTGGACAAGTAAGCCAAAATGGTTTTTTTTTTTCCACAATTGCTTGTCTTGAATTACATGGAATGGGCAGCTTAATGAGTGTCTGATTAGTGTCCCATAATTATGAATAATAGTTTATTTACTATACAAAAACTGCTGCTCGTACTTAGCAGCATACTTTTAGCTCATATTCGGCATACTGAGATAAGGGGGTATGACTACAGACATTCAAAAGAAAAAAACCTCTGTCATTCAGTGCTTTAATTACCCAATATCATCTGTTGAAGCCAATACTATTGAAAGCAATTTTTTTTTAAATTAACCCGTTTGCTGTTGGTGCTGGAGCAATGCTGAGCTGGAAGCCATAGCAACTGAAGGGTGCCAAGCTGGTTCAGTGATCAGAGATTCAGCCACTTCTACAAATTACATTCCGCAAACATTTGTATAAGCATGGATTTAAAATCTCTCCCCCCGACAAGATATGTGTTGTGAGCATAAAATCCATCATACATCATCCTAATGCTTTCTCCTGCACTTATAAAATGGGGCGCATCTAGTAAAGTCCAGAGATATAGACTGGTGTCCTAAAAAATAAGGGCTACATTTAGAGTTGGGCATCCTCAGAAAAAAATTCAGAGGTGGGTGTCCTCAGAAAAATGGTCAGACTCAGAGGTGGGAGTCATTAGAAATAAGAGCCACATCCAGAGGTGAGAGTCATTAGAAATAAGTGCCACATCCAGAGGTGGGAGTCATTAGCAATAAGTGCCACATCCAGAGGTGGGAGTCCTTAGCAATAAGAGCCACATCCAGAGGTGGGAGTCATGAAAAAAGAGGGGCATACTCAGAGATCGGTGTGCTCAGAAAAACTAACAACATCTTCTGGGTGAATTATATAAGTAATAGTTTAACTGAATCGTACACGTTATTCCATTGTTATTATTTGATGCGCACACACACGCGCTTCAAATCCTATACTAGTTTCAGTTACATAGCCTATAAATTCTACAAAACTACTACTCCCACTCTTCTGTCACTTGCATTTGCACTACACTAGTGTCCTCCAATAGATTAATAATTGAGAAAACACTATTATGTTAGCTTATCTTCATTTTTTTAATTTGCATACCATTATAAAAAGCTGAACGTCAGACAAAAAGCTAAATACACCATTAGAATACATATATGAAAGCTGCTAAAATTGATATTCCAGTCCTCTCAGTTCTGAGTTTTACCCAGCCCTGTAAGACACCACAGCCAGCCTGGAGACCTAACTTTTCTCTGCTGTAGTTAACCAATACAGCTAGGCCACCTCGCTGCCTCCAGCCTTGATTGCATTCTAAATGTTTGCTACTCTTATAACTTATTTTTATCCTACATTTCAATTAGGGCTGTGCAAATTAACGATTCATTTCTCGATTAATCGTGAATTTTTTTGATCGATTACAAATTTTTTAAATCTTTCTGCATGAGCGCCAGCCAAGGCATTGGCCTATACACATACAGCACAGCAATGAAGTAATAAAATGAACTAGGATCACCCTAATCCAGCACGTTATTATTCTGAGTTGGCCCACTCAAGCGGCGGCCATATTGAGTGGGGCATGTGAGATTAATAACGTACTGGATTAGTGTGATCCTAGCTCATTTTATTACTTAATTGCTGTGCTGTATGTGTATAGGCCAATGTAGTTGGATCTGTATGTGCGTTATAATTAATCGAAATTAATCGATTAAAAAAAAATTCGATTAATCGAACACGAAAATTTTAATCAGTAACAGCCCTAATTTCAATATTTATCATCACTTTTCTATCATTGCTTGCTCTGATTCTATTACTCTTACTAAATGCCCCTTCTTTTTATCCAAATATTCCAAATATTTTTGTAACAACATATCTGTGTGTAATAAGGTGGAGAGATTTTCTCACAGTGCATATTCCTGACGGTCATATAATGAAGATGGAGATTGTGGATGGTGGAAAGCAGTAATGTATACTTACTGCGTGGCCCGGAACCCGTGTCGAAGTAAGAGAAGAGGGAGTCTAACTCATCCGGACAGAATAAGGAATCTCGACGGAACTTCCTCTCAATCTTTGCAGCTGAAAACAGAAGATCATACAGATAGTAGCACATGCAATAACGTCTACAAAGTTATTGTAAATCATAAATATTAGATTTCACGGCTTAAACTAAAACATTACCTGTCACATTCATAGCACAACATTACCACTGTCCATACACCCAATGTAGCCATGCGTGAGTTGGGAAACTTTACTGTATTACCCAAGAGATTAGGGAAGATCCTACAGTTGTCCTTGCTATGACCTACACAGTGGCATACCTTAAAGAGAATTGGTCAGTTTGCCCATCCAGCAGTGTGGCAGTGCATTAAAGGACTGGGTCCCCCCTTAGCTCACACTTTTTCAAACTGTAGTTTCAGACTGTATTTACAAGTCTTGGTACTGGAGAATCAACCCAAGTATAACTATACTACAATAGCTGGAGAGCTACCTTTAACTTTTCAAAGCCATACCTGAGGACAGCATGGCGGGAGATGTGTTTCCTCCTTCATGCCTGTATTTCCGCCTCGCTGAGGGAGCTTTGATGGAGCTGTTATTCCGCTGACACTTCTTCACACTCCACCTCTGGGAAGACTTCCTGTCATTTTCTACTTCTACACTGCCCAGCCTCTTCAGGAACTTTTTCTCCACATACTTTGCTTTTATCCAGATCTCTTTGTTCTGTCTGATAAAAAAATGCAATTAAAGAGCTAGACTTACCAAAATGTGGGGAAGTTCAACATTAAAGAAGATTTTCAAAATATCTAAAATGGCCACATAACACAACATCATAAAAATTTAAGAACTACAATAGTACTTCAGGGAAAAAATGTTGGCTATGGGAACTTTATTCCCATAATATGGAGATGTATGAGGAAAACTGGAATGTGTTTTGGCGTATCCATTTCCCATGACTCTTCATTCAGTCCAGGTTCCCATATAAATCTCTGTTATGCTCTAAGTCACAAGTAAGTCTTCTCCGTCTTATTTTTCTCTGTGACTGTAGAAAATAGATCAAGTAAAGCATGAAAAATAAAAAAATCAATAAGAGTAACAACAGAATAGCTGTAAAGACTGTTTGACTTTCCTGAGAAACCTTAGAAAATGATAAAATGATCAGGCATTATATAGTCTGACAAAGTCAGAGAAAATTAGTAACACATATTCATGTGGACTACCTTTGGCCCTGTCCACAGGTGGTACCTGCCATAGCAATGACAAGAATCCTATTGACCTCTGGTGTTAAAGCCAAGCAGAACGACATCAGCACATCTCTCAACTGCCCAAAGCAGGTTCTTGGGTGCTACATACCACAACTAGCATCCAAGATCATACCAAAGCTGTTATTCCACTCGTCACATCTACCGTAATGGTGGTACAAATGTAAACAACATTCACCAGTACTTATGTTCCTAAGCCCAATAAAGATGCTTTAAGATGTCCATAGTAGAGGTACCCTGTATGGTTATGTGGAGTCATAATCCATAAAGGCAAGAGTGATTGTGCATTCTGATGCTGGTTGCTGTGCTCCATAATTGTATTGTGATGGTAATTTCTGTACTGTGGACTAGCAATTTGCCAATATGGCTGGAACCATCCAACATCGCCTAAGGTACCCCCGCCAGGGACCAGCTCACACATAGCAGGCAAAAGGCTCAATTTACAAAACGTTGCACAAGCCTAAGGCGATTGTGATTTCAAATCTTGTTGGCCTGAAGAGTCCTGTGTTCTGCTCCATTCATTGTACACATTCCAGAATTCTCACTTAGAAGAGTCAATACATACATTCTTGGCAATGCTCAAACCCATCCTCCTGGCACCCACAATCACTTTCTTTAGTATGTTAGCCCAAATACAGCCACAATGTTTTATTTTGATAAAGGAGTTGAGAAAGGTTAGAGCTTATGTCAAGTTTTCTATTTTATTGCTGTCCCCTACTGAGATTTCCCCTCACTCCCTGTCAGGACAGGAGATAGGAAATCTCTCCAACAGGTGTCTCAGAGACAGGAAGTGAAGGAAAACCTCCCTAGTGGGGTCAAAGACTGAAATACAAATCTGAGAGAAATGTTGATTTTTCTTTACTGTATCCAAAACTAAGAAAAATTGGCTGCAGTTAGGCTTTAAATCCATTTTGGTATTCTATCCGTATGCACAACAGATGTAAATGGAATGTCTATTGCAAGTCCCTCTTTAAATAACTCCACTTATACAAATGGAAAGAGTGGGTTAACGTCTGCTGCAGAGTTTCCATTTCTCTGGCCACTGATGGCATTTTTAAAAGAATCATATATTACATACCGAGGACATCCAGCAGTTGGTTTTTTCAGTCCTAACTGTTCACATTTTGCCTCATAGATCTGGTTTATGGTGCTGTTTCCCAGCTCACACATCAGCTAATGAAAAGTCAGAGAGAGAAAAACAAATACGGTAAGGTTACTTCTGTACTGACATTAACTTGCTACCGTTACAAAGAATGTGCTTCACCTACCTTTAGTAACTCTGGTTCCCAAGAATCCAACGTAAGCGAACGTACTTTAGAACAATGCACGCCAAGACTCCTACAAAACACACAAGTTATACATGCTGGTGAAATTCCACTGCACACCGACAAAGGTATAGTCAATGAAACATTGCATAACATCCCCGAAGAATCCTATGACTTAATAAATGCTAAGCTACCAAGACTTAATACCCAGTGCTGGACAAATTAAACATGGAAAAGATTTCTACACATTAAAATGTACAGGGCACTCAAAAGTGCTTTTTTTAAAAATAAATGGTTCTTAAACGGTTAAGTCAGCCCCTGGCTTCATATATGTCTTGGATACTCCAACTTCCAACAGCAACACTTCCCTGTCATAAAACCCAACTCTGTTCCTGTCCACCTGGGAGTTTTGAGTGTCACTGTCCACCTTTGTATATTTAGGAACTTTCTCTTTTATTCTCCTTAACAAAAAGGTAATAAAGGATCCAACAGGGAGAATAAAACCCCTATAACGAGCACAGCAAACCCATATGAAAAAATGTCAGGTTGTTTACCTCTCTAGCACCTACTGAAATATCTGATTCGAGTGAACTGACCCTTCGAATAAAATTTTAGGCCACAGAATGGTGTTGGAAAATCTTTGTGAAGACAGAACACGAAGTGCACATGCAGTTATCTTCAGCATGTACTGCTGACCTCAGGATGTATGAATATGCATCTTCCTATACCATCTACAATAGTTTATGTTAGTGGTTCCTCTAAGTGGAGGGAGGATGGTTAGGATTGGCTATCTTTCTAAACTTTAAATGACCTGAAGCTGAATAACCATTGCTTATTTTGCCGCTCTGCTCTTGAATTGGAGCTTACACAAGGCTAGGGACTCTCCACACCACCACATGGCATTACGAGGCCAATCACGAAGCACTATTGCTGTCACATGGGGTGAGTTACAAACTTCTCCATACTGTGAAGTACTAGGAATGGGAGAGATGAAAAGACAAGTACAGTATGTGCTGCTGGAGAGGGAGCATTAAAGTAAGGGCAATGCACAGGTTTGCTTTAATAATAGTGGATTTAGGATACTTACAAGGGGAAAGTGGTTTTTTTTTAACAAATTAATCCTAGGTACACATGGGGAATCCCATTACTTTGTGAAAACCCTGTTAATCTGATTATGGTTCTCCCTCAAAAATGATGTACGAATTTGTACCTGTGTATCCCTGAGCACTCAATGCAAAGTGTGATGCCTAAATTGATACTGGCCCACCGGGGGTCTGTCTGGCCACAGTCACAGCATTGGTAATTCCCGGCGATACTCTGTACCCGCTGAAGTATGCTTTCTCCCTTAATGTTGCGTTCCCGTAAGTCACTGGCAGAGTCAATGCTGCTTGTGGATGGGGATGCTGTCCGGTCAAGCCTCTAAATGTAAAAAAAAGGAAAGTTTTGAAACATGAATCTACCAGGAATTCTAGATCTAACAGAGCAAATATCACACTGAAAGCTAATAACACTGAATGGAGTTTATTAAAGCTTTAGTTCTCATCTGCAAGCAGACATGAAAAGGTGGCTACGATGGGGCTACCTAAAACTCTGCAAGGCAGCATAGCCCCCCTAAAAACGGACAGGCTGAATTTAGATGAATGGAAGGCTGTTAAAGGTAAATAAACAGGACACATACAAAGCAGGTCAAACACCGCCTCTGAACTGCCATGTGTACTGCTCAATTAAAAATCTATAGGATTTTGCTGACCTGCGTTTGAAGTGCATTTCTAATGTACCTCTAATGCAGGAAAACAACTCCCATTGACAAGAGCCCTTAATTGGACTTTCTCAATTGCAATTCACACTTTAATATTGTTGCAAGGAAAAGTGATCAGAACACAAGCCCTACATTTTCAATGCCACAGAGACACTTTGAAAAGCTGTAATCTAAGCATCTAGAATGAGCACAGATGTCAAACAGCACACTTTGATGAAACCATACGAAGAGGAAATAATTAGGAAATACAACTACAATTACAAAATACAACTCGCATAGCATATTATCTACAGAGTGACATATATTTGAAATGTCTTTTACAGAAGTTTAATTGATGTGGAGCTTTAAACTTTTTTAGGCAACAAGCAATGGAAGACTCCTCACCTCTATGTAGTAGTTATCTGGTGTTTCTCTGTAGGCTGAGGCAATACTAGCCTGCACTGCTTGGATCCAGGCTTGTCTGAGCTTCTCCGAGTCTGCCTGAAGCATGCAACTCCTGGGGAAAGCAGGACATCGGCATTAAAACCACTGGCTTATCAACAGTAACTTGTAATTAAATGAAAGAACAATCCTATATTGCAGTACATTTCATGGCAATTATTATTTTTTGGTGATTGTGTCCCCATCGGGGAGATATCACCCCAACAAGTGTCCCCAGCTGAAGACTCTATTCCTGTTCCACTGAAAACTCAAAATTCTCCCCTTAGTTTTAGTCACAATGACTTTCCTGGCTGTGGAAATGACTTTCCACAGACAGGACATAGACAGCAATAAAAAGTGAAGAGGGTTGCCCACTCTATTCAAAACTGAAAAGTTTGGCTTTAGATACGTTTTAAGAACTCACACTGGACTGTGGTACACTGAAACCTCAAAGGGAATAATGATCCCCCCAGCTGCAGCATGAGGAAACAGACTTCATGGTAGTGAGTGGAAGATGTCATTGCTGGAGTCCCAAAATATATAAGATGTCAGAGGGTGATTTAACTAAGCAGTATCTAAAGACAAAAAGTCCCTTTAAAGGGTTACTATAGTAGCTCAGAGAATCATTGGTGTTCAGCTTCCTACTTTGGAGGACATGTATCATGCATGTCGTGTCAAAAAGGGCATTAAATATAGTGAAGGATCCTTCTCATCCCTGTCATTGCCCGATTACCCTCCCACCACTCTGGGAGGCATTATAGGACAATGAAAGCCGAATGGTTAGGCTAAGGAATAGTTTTTATCCTAGCATGGTGGTACGGCTGAATCAATCACTACATAACTAGGAGTAACTGGTTAGATGGAATCATACATAGACCCTTTTTTTTATATAGGTTTACTTAATTATTTATGTGTACATACGGTTTTATTATTAACGGTGTTAAATATTTAATGCACCATTCAGGGAATGCAAATGGAAATTTCGTTGTTAGATTTTAAACAATGACAATAAACTCCTATTATTACTTATTATCCACCCATAGTCAAATAGAATATCAGGTACAGAGCCGCAGTGATTACCGTGACTCAGATCGGGGTTCTAAAAGCTATTTTCTTTATGGCAGCTGCTAGGGGCAATGGAAGGCCTTGGTGGATTTATACTTTAAAGCAGAACTCCGGGCAAATCAAATATTAACCCTTGCAGTCGGGCTACCCCCGCACTGCAATGGTTAAGTGCTTTTTTGTCTAGGGAGCTAAAATGACAAAGCAATACTTACCCCCAACCATGATCCTGGCTGGCTCCTACACTGCTCCCTTCAGCCGGTGTCTTCCTCCGCTCCAGTGATAGAACATGATGACTCGCTAGACTTTAGACCACTGGAGCAAACGGGGAGTGAGGCTGATAGGACTGGTCTAAAAGCAAGCCGGGATCGTGGTTCAGATGAGTATAGCTTTGCTATCTTAGCTTCCTAGACACAACGAGTCTTGTAATGCCTCATAAAACTTGTAGTTCCACAACAGCAGGAGTCCAGTGGTTTCCTATCCCTGATTTAGAGTACTGGTTAAAGCACTTTGGTTAAAACTTGCAGGCAGTGAGGAAAGATTGGAAGAATCCCTCTGCTCTTTTTTTTACATATGGGTTTCTACATTGGATATAAATGATCATGTGCTGTCATGTCAAAATCTAAAATACATAATTGTTTTCCACTAGGTGGTGACTACAGTATGCATGCGTGCAACACAGATGGACAATGCAGCTATGGAGGAAGTGCACTGGATGAGCTGGACTTTTATTCAATCAGGCCTTAGCAGGCAGCTCCCTCCAGATGGTTTTAATGCATTTCTGAAAGGCCAAAAGGCAATTACGCTGTAAAGGTTGAGGAGTTGGAGAATGTGAAGCAGATGCACCCCGACATACTCGTTATTGATATTTTAATGTGCACAGAAGCCAGCAGGCTCTAGGAATAACATCTGTGAGCAGGGGCCCAGACAAGGGATTTATAGGGTGAATCATAGCAAAGCTCTGGGGTTCATGACCTGGTTTAAATCTGCAATTCCTTTGCTACTGTGAATGCCTAGAGTGTTCCAACAATGCCGAGTTCTTCCATTAATGATCAGAGCGCAGATCACCTTGTGGTGTAACAGGAACTGATGATCACTGCTGTGTGAGAGACATTGTAAAAAGAATGCTAAGAACCCAAAAATGATACAGCTTAACCCAGCAGGGCATGGAAGAGTATGCAATAATGGATACTACAAGGTCAGGTTTGAGGTGCCTACAGACATCAAAGAACATCCACCCAATCCAGCCATTTACTGTCAGAAACCTTCATATGTCTGTATGCCTTCTAACATGCCTCGTGGCCAAACCAGCTCAGATAGGGTGAGGGGGGAACAATAAGCTGGGATGGAGCTTTTCAGGCAATTGATGGTTGTATCTCATTGTAGGCTGATGTCTACAGTGCTCCCCATTCTCAAGAAGAAGTATTCAGATCAGAAAATTTTGTGTAAAATTAAAATAAATCCTTATCTGCATTCTTGCTCTGGGTCAGGGACTTGAAGCCAGAGTATCAGTATGATGCAACCAGCATTTGCAGAAAGAAATGGCAGCTTGTATGTTTCTCTTAGGAAAAGTTTCAGTGCTGTTCCTTAGGTGATAGAGGAAAATGCCCCCCCGAGTAGGGGGTAATTGATGTATAGCTCAATCTCTGTACACACTGAAAGCATTCCTTCATCGCACTTACTTTGTGGGTGAGACGACTTCAAAGCAAAACCTCCTTTCTATATCTTCACAGGGCTTCACCGTACACAGTCTAAGGTCCTCCACCACCACCGTCAGGACATCCTGCCAGGAAAGCAGGTAGGGATAAGCTTTCCAAGGTTCTTAGGGAACATAGTATTGTACTACATGCCAACTAGGCTTTCCTCCTTTTCTATACAACAATAGTGAATCTGATTGTTAGCTTAAAAGGCAACATGGCTTGGACACCACACCCTATAATAGCTGTAAAAACACTTCAGGTTGGTTACAACTAAGTAAGTTCTGTTCTCTGCAAAAATCTAATGGAAAGACAGGCACACGTGCAGAGGTAGAGTACTGCCCTGCCTAGGATAGAAGTCTGCCCTGCCAGGGATAGAAGACTGCCCTCCCAAGGATAGGAGACTGCCCTGCCAAGGATAGGAGACTGCCCTGCCAAGGATAGGAGACTGCCCTGCCAAGGATAGGAGACTGCCCTGCCAAGGATAGAAGACTAGACTGTCCCCATCCCCTGTCCACACTTGCCACCTGCCCTCGAGTGTTATCATTACTGTATGGCAAATCTTCTTTATCCCATGCATATATAGAGGACATTTTTTGTTGGATTAATTAGTAGTTTAGTGATTAAACTGACAATGGTGCCCTTCAGGGACTGGATGCAAGAAATGGAAACAAAGAGAGAGCCCCCTTGGTGTTCAATCTAGAAAGATGAGATTTGAATATACAAAGGAAAGGATATAAAATATTTATAAGAAGATTTTACATACCTTCAGTTTCTTCTGGTAAACAAGCTGACTGTTTTGTATAGAAAACCATCTCCTGTGAACAATAGAAGAATGTCAGTGATAATCTGCAGACATTCACTGCAAAAGTCAAATCTAGAGATGAGAATGGTGTAAAAGCCACTGAATAGTAACCCAGTGTGACTAATCTTCACTATGGCCAGGCTTCATGTGTCCTCCCAAAAAAACTTGTAATGTCCATTCTGTTGAACAGGCCCAAACCACCTGGTAGACAAATTTAAGTTAAAGTGCATTTGTCATGAGAGAAAATGTAGGCTACCGTTGCTTATTCCTATGGGGGCAGAGGAATGG